AGACCTGACTCGACACGAAGGCGAAGCTGCCACGTCGAGACGAATAACAAGCGAGGACCATCGACTCGGATCATCGGCTCTGAGGAAAACGAAGACGTCGAAACGTTAGCAGAAAATAAACGTCATTATCAACACCGTGTAAGCTCATCAAAGAAAGAATACATATTGATTAGTGATACCGAGGTTCAAGGAAAGTCGGTTTCGAAATATAAAGCACTAAATGTTTTTTACGCAATATTGGTCTCTAGCAACAGAACAACGCAACCATTCCATTGCAGGCGGCCTCATCAACATCTTTTAATTTGCTCTATTTTTGGAATCGGAGTTTTATTAGATCTTGGCATGAATAACCATTGTTTTCTTAAATTATTAAGCTAAAAAAAACTGTTAAAAACTCTTATTTGAGTAACCTTCGAGCACATTCGCCTTCTTCAGAGACGCGATCATCCGAGTCATTGGTCCGCAATCATTCGACCCTACGATGTGAGTGTTCGGCATCGTCACCAGTCGATTGCGGTAGAGTGGGACACCGCTCTAGTTAAGTAATCTCATTTGGCAGTATCCTTTTATACAGTACCGTTGTTGATCTGCTTCAGTCCGATATTATATGCTTTCATTGTGGGAATACTTCCTGTAGTGCTTTGTGTAAAATACAATGACAAGTATGCTGAGATGTGAGCAAAATCCAGACTCCAAGTTAGGCTCTATACCTACGCGTGCGCTATTCAAGAGCTCATGTGCTTTCCACTACATCAACAGAGACATTTGCTTTACCTTTCTCTCCGCCAGTTTATTACACTAATAATGCTATCAGCAACATCCGTTGACAACTAATGAACGTTAGACGTAATGATTGAGTTTGTTAGCTCAGAAGACGTACTTTCTGTAAATCTCGGAAAAAAATTAATCCATCTATATATATATATATATATATATATATATACATATATTCTGATCGATTGGCCTTCTTGATCTGACGCGTGGTTGATTTAGTTGTCCTCCTTGTCGTTTGTTTCTCCTGTGGTTTGATGGCTGATGTCTCGGCCTTCTTCAGAACCTCAACGTGTTTTATGCAACGATATCCATGTAACCACAATGCTGAGATATTTGCAAAACTCTGGGCCGCAGGTGTCTGCGGCTGGGATCGAATCCTCTATTATCATCCACCTATATAATTCGGTGAAATATCGGCAGTACTAATGAAAATCTGTGCTTATAAATGAACGTCATGCTGTTCAAAAACTACTCATCTTTTTGTTGCTTGTGGGTCTCGTGTGTATCCACGCACAATGACCAGTGACACTTACGCAGATAAGAAAATCAACCGAGAAAAGCACCAAGTCACGCGTGATAGTGAGGCATTCGTCTTCCCGGTTCATCTCTGGACGTTTGAAATTTATCAAAAACGCTTCAAGTTTTTTCTTCAGTCTTACGCGCTGGTGCTCTTAATTCTTATGCTAAGATCTTAAAAATCGATTCAAGATTATGACCTTTGCATTCATGCCCTAAATGCATGTCCTAAATGGACCTAGAAGAGTACTTTTCCAATCGATTTTCCATTTCGGTGAGCCTCATTTGTCGTCCCACATGAGCAACATATGGGTTGTTTCAACCTACCAAAGCGGTGGATAGTTTTTGAACAAAACTGTGTTTACGTTCGTATATATGTTAGGTGTTTACTTGTACTACGGATATTTCACCAATTTATAAAGCTTCTGCTTCGATGTGGCTTCGTTTACCACTGAAGCCACACGTAAAAGTTGGAAGATCTTCGGGAACAATGGAAGCGAGGAAACGAATCGAGTGTGAGAAGTGGAGTGATCTATACAGCAGACGTAAAGACGGGTTATATAAAATAAAATAAAAAAGTAATAGGGCTATCGTTCATAAAATCGTTACATAAAAGCGTCTGAGCTTTGATGATGAAGAGAAATGCGACCTGCATTACTGCAGTGGTCTAAGTAGTGTGTAATGCTAAAAATTCCACTCGTTCCCAGTTCGTTAGCGAGAATCCTCTACTTGTCGGAACGTAATAAATTTTGTTTCCTTTGTTTCGCAGACGGCAAAACTGAAGCACCGTCACCACCACTAATTTTTTACGAGAATTTTACGAATGCTGAATAAAGTTTTTTAAACAGTTTCCGTGTTGTTTTAGGTGCACTGTTGAGTGATGAGCAGTTTCGTCACAGTTTCCATGCACTTTCAGTACAGTAATGCACGTAGTTGGACACTCCGATCCAATGGAGAAAATCACTACGGCTACCTTGTTTTTAATTGAGGGTCATGATGTGACTCCTCGAAACGCTTCAGGAACTTTCTAGCATTCAAATGCTCATCTGAACAAAGCAAAAACAGCCCATCTTAGCACTTTATTCCCTTAAGGAATAACAAGTATCCCAGTACAGGCTTTTCCATTCTTTTTATTGTAGCACGCAGTTATTTTCCAAGTAGCGACGCTTCCAGCCAAAGTGTCAGCAACGAAAAGTCTGTTCATATCTGAGGCTTTTATCAAGAAGCTTGCAATTAAGGTGGTCCACATAAATTTTAGCCAAGGCAGAAGCAGGCTTCTACTTCCAGTGTGAATCTGTAAACCTCTAATACTTTCGGAGGCTGTTTAGACTTGGAGGAGTAATTACTGCGCTCGGCAGGACTCTAACCACAATCGAACCCTGTACGAACTCCCTTTAACGTGCTCCGGATTTTCAAAATTTGCTAAAATTTGTAGCAAAACATTTTGCAGCCACCATTTCCGTTCACTTCAGAAATGTTTGTTGTCATGTCTCAATGTCAATTTTCACTAGCCACAGAAGAGGTGATTTCGGCTCAGCACAGAAAACTATCAGATGTTTCATCGTTCTAGACAATGTTTTGTCAAGGATTGTGGGTGGAGTTGTTTGACAACGGTTTTTACGTGGATCGTCACGAACTATTTATAAACATTGCTCGTATAGAAAAAAAGTTTTTATTGTTTTTCATTAAAAAAAAGTTTTTTCAGCTTAATTATAAGTTCGGTTTCCTTTCAAGTCCAAACATCAGCTACAAATCGCAGAACACAAAACCACTCCATTTACTGGAAACACTTGAGAGGTAAAATAGACCCAATCACGGAAACGCATCTGTTTTCTCATTACCTGACACAAATTTTTCCTACTTTTACAAAAAAGGGACAAGAACTGTTGTGGTGTGAACTAGATTGATTTCCCTTCGCCAAACAAAAGAAGTCACTCTGCTTAGAAGTGCCGTAGATCTGTTTGAATAGATCTGTTTGAAGAGCCTTTTTTAAAACTAAACTATAAGGAAGATGCTGCTGTCTCTCTTTTGAGGACAAACAGTGCTTAAAAGGTCGACCTACTCCAATTTGTGCCTTGTTCCATTCTAACGCCCACTATGGAATTTAGAGTCTAGAATTTCGCTCGTCACAATGAAAGCTCGTTTGCACTCCTACGTTTTCATTAAGTAGAGGCACATTTTCATCATTTTACAATATTGCTATGCAGTAGAGGATGACAAGAACGCTTTTTTTGGAAAGCCTTTTATCTAGTTTGCTAGATCATCTAGTACTATACTGTGCTACAAAACATTTGCACCAACCTAGAGTTGAACTCGCGTCTGTACCTCGGAAGGGTACAATGATAGCGTTACACTATTGGTGCTCAACAGCGCATCTCTATGTCGTCCTCAAACTTGTCCAGTGCGTAGTTAGCCTTCAGAAGAATAAAACGCTTGAATGTGTAATATTTGGTCGATGTATAAAAATGCTGCACCAACCGGGAGTCGTACAATGGAATGATTAGCTATGATACAGTGATCTCGTTGTAGCATTCAAGGTCGTGCTCGTACTCAAACTGTGAGTGTTTTCGTTCATCTGGGGCTTGATTACTTTGTTGAACTTATTTTTTAATACCAGCTTGTTATTATATGATTTCCACTCGGTGGATTCATATTTTCTTTAGCAACTATTTTGAAGCTAAAGAAGCTTGTTTAAAAGAAGCTATTTATTACGCGAACGCAAACTTATGTGTCAAGTCTTATATGCTAGGGTTATGAAAGTTCTGCCAAGTAGGTCGCATGTTATTTCCTGACAGGCTCTAAAGAATGAGACACCGCTGAGACGTCGGCTATCGTATGCCAATAGGCCCTGTAAGATCGACCTCATGTTTACTTACCGAAGCAAAACAGTGATTTACAGCGAAAACAAATTTAGTGTTTATCAACAAGAATTTGACGATTGGCGTATTTAAGAGATGAGCCAAAATCCGGACATACAAGTTGTCACAAGTCGATGAATTTCGAATCGAACTCTTTCTTGATAGACTCGGAAATTTTCGAGTAGAGATCTTGAATTTTCAGCAGCCTTTCTTGTTGAGACAGGCCAGGACTTGTCATCAGTGCCGAAACCTGAATGATTGGCTTCGATAATCTTGAATACTATTATTACTCGTATGGATTGTGGATGACATGGATGATGTAGTGGTGAAGTGCGCTGCTCCCGGTAAGGACAACAGCGCGTGTTCGTTCCCCACTGCATACACCTGTGGTCCGGAGTTTTGCAAATATCTCAGCATTTCATACGAGTTACATTTCGCAACATACTCTGCCATTAAGAAGAAAAAGGCAGTAAATAAAAGGGTTGAGATTGTGACTGTTATTACTCTTTTAGAAGTCCAATATATGCAGGTAAGTAGCTGATGGATTCTAGTGCATTGGAAAATGAGTGGTTGAGTACAACAATAACCAAAGTGCGGTTGTAAATATGCAAATACACTTGTAATAGAATTGAGATGTATTCGTTGTATAGACAAATAAATGGACTTAAATGATTTCCAATCGTCTTCTCTGAGTGAGGCTTGCCAAACTATCACATGTCCTTGTCTCCCTTTGCCTAATCGAATCGACTTGGATATTTTGTGCGAATGACATCGATTTTTTCTCCTACGGTACAGTTTCCACAAAGTACAGCTTATGTTACGATTCTAATGCTAACCATTGAACAAAAAAGGATAGTCACTTATTGATGTCAACAATGGATACCAGCAAACCTGCCTAGCCTTTAATTGGAACGTGGTTATGAAGTGTGTTAACAAAGAACAACTTTAAGCCAACTCTAACCTCTTTTGTTAATCTTTTCGTTTTTAAAAGCATTTTTAACATCCCTTCGAGCACTTTACCACCTCATCGTGGCTGTGAAGTGTTCCAGAGTGTCGGATTGCGATGTACGGCGGAAAGATTCATCACTCCGGCAGGGTCTCGCAAGCTGAGAATGATTACAGCGTTTTCGTATGTATTATAAAGCCTAGTTAAGAGTAAATCAAAACAAGGATCTAGTACCGTCCTAGTAGCAAACTAGTCGCATGGTGGCAAATCTCCTCTGATCTACAAGGGCAGCGACTGCCTGTGGTGGCAACAACCTGGGACAGAGTTTGACCTGGCTGCCTCGCTACTCCAGGAGACGACAACGGCTAAACCAGCAAAACCTCGAAAAAATAGAACTTGTGCTGGGACCCACACAATCAGTGAAAACTGGCCATCCAATTACCCAAGTATCAAGGTATTTTTAACATCATTTATTCTTTTTTCGGCGCCATTCCTCAATCACAAAAGTAGTACTGGCAGAAAAACCTTTAGATTATTTTAATAGATTGGCATTAATAATAATATAATAATAATAATAATAAATGTTAACTAATAGACTAAGTCAATGTCATGTGTTCACCTTCTGGAATTGCTGTTGAGCTTCTGGAGACATCGATTCCACAGCATCATGAACTTTTTGTCTCTTAGCGTACATGTCGTTAAGAGACGTGTGCTGGTATTTGGAGTACAAGTTCTAAAGCACATAACGCAATTGTAAATGAAAAACCACCATAGAAAAAAAGCTTGGTGTTGTTGCTGTTCGAGATAACTGCTACTACATTTTGTAATTCCTGCCAATAATACATCAGTTTAAACGAGCTGGTAAACACTCAAAACTACTCCATATAACCACAACGTTGCTGAGATATTTGCAAAACTCTGGACCGCAGGTGTCTATGGTGGTGAACGAACGCGCTATTGCCCTTTCCGGGGAGTAACGCGTTCACCACCACACCTTGCGGGTCCTTCGTTTCGCCTGTCTCTCAGCTATTTCTTTCGATCTTTTTGCCACAGCAATCACCCGTCAGCGAGGTTTATCTGGGGAGCCCAAATCGGCATATTACCCAGTTAAGCTGTGGCTGTAGTTGAAATCGCAATGTTTAACGTTTTGTTTTCTGCCTTCCATAATTTTCATGGCAGGTTACTAGTAACCTCCCATGAAAATTATGGAAGGCAGAAAACAAAACGTTAAATACTCAATGTAATTCCCACGACCGACTTTCTACTCAATATATCTTTTACCAGAGTATGGTGTTATTAGGATTCGTTAGACTTTGTGGTGCACACACCTGTACATCGACGTCCATCTCAGCAATCATTTCTTCAATTTTCGCATTCTTTTCGGCAGCAGACCACGTTGGATGTTGCACGATTGAATAGAACTTAGAAAAACAATCGCTTTATCCTCAATTAGATCGTCTTTTTTTACACTTGTTATTTGAATACTTTAAGTTTTTCCGTGTAAGGAATTGTAGGAATGAAGCCGCCATAACTTCGAACAAAGCTCTTCATTTTCTACCCTGTTTTTATGAATGTATTAAGTGCAACGAAGAATCCAAATTATTTACATGATCAAGGCTGATCTGGAGTAGATTCATTGGAATAATATCTGACCTTATCCTGTACTTCCTTGCTTTGTTTTTCCATGAACGGTGGTATAACTCTGATTGGCTGTGATGGAGGTAGAGAAGCCTTAGAAGCGCAAAAATTTAACCGCTTAGGTTCGAGATTGTCTACAATCTCGAAACATGTACACGTATTTTGAATTTGCAGCTTACCGGCTTTTCAATACTTCCCATAAAGTCGTCACCTTGGAATTGTCCGTATCCCGTTTTCTGAATTCCACTTCTCAGCTGTTCTAGAGAAAATCTTTGATCTCCGAGCATTCCAGGTAGCTGATAATTAAATGGTGGTATATGTTCCATTTGACTCGGTGGCATCATTGGTTGTGAGTTGAAAATGTTACGAGAGCCGCGATAGATAGCAGATGCAGCAGTAGGAATAATTGGAATACCATATCCTGGATAGTGTGAGCCAAACTGAGCAATTTGTGGGGCTGAAAAATACATGAAAGTGCCGAGTTGCCTAGTGATATTGTAATCTCTGAAAAATATAAATGAAGAAAATAACATGAACATGGTCCTTAAATATCGAATTCTACTTTTTTTTACGAAACCCGCAAGCAATTTTCAGACTTGATAAAACTTAGGGCTTTGGGTGCAAACTAACCTAGTTGTGCAATTAATGGATCAACTCCAGGGTAGTAGTTTGCTGGTGAATGTTTATAGAATCCGTCTGGGAAAACGAATTCGATAAGTTAAAGTACACAATGAATATAAAACGCATATGCAGAGTTTAAAAAAAGTCTAAAGAGACCAATAAAATCCTTACCAAAAGATCCCATTGGTTGACTTTGACCCGGATCCAGAATAGCGTTAAGACCAGAGTTTATGATTGGCACAGTCCATTGTGTTTCAGTTAAGACAATGAGCGATAAGGTGACAACAAGGACATTCATGATGAGCGGAATGGACAGTTTTTTAGAAATAGGTTGCTATGAGTGAGCAAATGAGGTCAAACTTTCACGCCCACAGTTTGACGTCTGTCCAGTACCAATTAGTCGCTTTGGAACACCACAACCGGTAGTTTTAGTGAACAACGTTTCAAAATCCTCTTTGCTACTGGTTTTTGATATATGCGTGGAGTAGTGGACAAAAAGACCATAAGCAAAAACAACGAAAACAAATATATTAACAAAAATATGGAACTAATTATACATAAAATAAAAGCACTCAAACCCTCGTTCGAACTTTTAACTTCATCTGCACCTAATTGCTGCTTAACAAAGTCTCCTAGAAGACTGTACAATTGGCCTGATGTGTTTGAAATCTTTGTTATTAGATCGAAAACTATATGAGAGTTTTCATAATCTATTGGCTTATTGAAATGATTTCGCTTGTGTCTGCTTTAAGGCCATGGAACGTAAATGGTATGCTAAAGGATTAAAGTAGAACTTTTTCTAAACTCTTGTCTTAGGATGAATTAGAGTTTCTTAAGAAAAATTATCTATGGCAATCGAAGTCGACGAAGAGCGTTCTATACGGCTTCATTTGCAGTGCTTAATTCCAGCAATTATAAAAACAAGTTTGTTCGGATAACACAGTCATCGCCTACCGCGTCAGGGACCTGTTTCACAGTGCTTTGACCACGAATCGTGCACCTCCGAAAGAGGTCAAATGCCAAATTGAGGCTACTTTTTTAGTACAACGGTCAAATCAGGACAATAGAAGTGTACGCTGAGAACTGGAACCAGAAATTCTGCGAAATGGTAGCTCGGCAAATTTTTGGAACTTGCAGTTGTGACATTCAGGTATTGTGACACATCCTTCAATGTAAAACTTTAAAAAAAACCAACGAATGCTGATAAGCGGCTCTTCCTCAGTGGAAGACACGTAAAAAAACAGCTCTGAAGAAGGCGATTCTGCCGAAACGTCAGCTACGATTGTGTTGTATGTGTGTTATTGTATGAAAGTAAACGTACGCTGCTTAACAACCTCGCGATTGCTGAGAAAGAAAACGACGAATTTATAATCCAATGCCGAGGTTAATAGAAAGTCGATCTTTAGAACTGAAATCACTACGCTAACCTTCAGCTGATAGATTGAAAATTAACTGAAAGGCAGGCGAAACGGAGGACCTGCGTGGTGTGGTGGTGGACGGACGCGTTAGTCCCTGTAAAGGGTAATAGCGCGATCGTTCCCCATTGCAAACACCTGCGGTCCGCAGTTTTACAAATATCTCTGCGTCGTTAAAGAAATATCAAAATTCTACAAACCTCATCTGTCATCAAAACAAAGCACCGAAATAGTGTAGTCATGTTTTTGACATTTCATCTGTACATGAAAGTCTGCATTGCCAAGGGCTCTTACAGCAAACACTTCGTTGCCGAATGTTGTCTCCCCACAGTTTTCTAGACGTTTTTAAGTGATGTTCAGTTGGTAATATTTCCAAACTACTCGTTTTCTGAGAACCATTCGAGGTTGCGTGTTGTCCTCGTCTCTCTTCCATTGATCAATTGGGTATAAACGTCTTTCAAGGTGAATGTGGTCGATTGCCTACCCAGACATTTGTTCTAATGGCTTCCTATGAACAGAAAAAACTAAAGTGATGGTCTCTTTTGTTGATGATAAAAACTTTTTATTCTTTTTTGAAAGTTTTACTTCGAAAAATAGTTTTGTTCTCAAAATCTCTTTCCAGATATTGCGCACAACGGCGTCGCGTGTCATATTGTCATACAGAGTTAGATTTTCATCGTACACCGCAATTCTGCTATTAAGCGTTGAATAAACTCAGGATGGGTTTGGAGACGACAGTCTTTTTGTGTCATTTTAAGAGTTCACCTATTCTTTAGATTCTTATCCTTTTTTGACTTTGGAAAGTTGAGGTGTTCCAAGTCCTACTTTCCTTTCAATTATTTCTTATTCAATCTTCCTGGCTATTGTCACTGGATTCAGCTCACTTCCAAGTTGTCAAATCCGTTGAAGCATCTCTTTGTAGACTTCCTTTGCCTCCAAAGATTATGGCCCCTTAAAATGAAACAGCATCGAAATAGTGTCATAACGTGCAGGTGCTTTGGTATCGTATTTGGTACAGGTCGTAAATGACGTCCGGATTGACAAAGAGCTGCCATATGAATTAATCGGTTTCCTTCTTCATATATGCGTAGTCACTCTATGATTACATCTGATTACATCGCACGTGCCTCAATCTTGAGTACAATTACGTATAAGGGCGTGAATCACTGATGCGTCATGCGTTTCACTCCAGGTGTGGCAAGTGAGGTTCACATCTCGATATAGAGCTCCACTATGAACAGTAAATATTGCGTTCTACTCGAATTTCGCTGGTATTGTCTGTAAAAAATGCATATGGTCTACATAGCGCAATGGTTAGAAAGGGATGCAATGCACGAGTAGGCCCCTGGTTCGATTCCGTGCAGTGGCTGAGAGAATTTTCATCACTAAATGTTCGTCAGCTTGTTGCCAGATTTGTCGAAAAGGATTAAAACACTAATATGATTAGTCGATTATCCACCAAAAGTTATTGTATAGGCAAACTATGCATTCAGTTCTCTCTATGATGCTAGGAATTAAGCCGAATGCATAGCGCTTCTTTAAAGGATTTGTCACCGCGAAACGCTTTGTAAACCTTTACGGTCAATTTTCCATTATTTGCTTGGATGAAAGTTTTGTTGAAATAACTTAATATGTTTGCACTTAGAAAGTAATGATAGGATGTTGATATTTCATAGTGATATCACTAACATCATGGCACTATAAAAGCAAACAAGTGGCACGGTGTAGGATATTTTCCCGCCACTAACTCACAATTAGAGCAAGACCTCTCACCAACTATTCTTCTATGGCACTCACTAACACTTTCGGCAATTACCAAAACGAATTTGGCCGTGCATATGAAGATGGCCGTCAAGGCTTCCGTTATATGAACAAGGAAATTCCGAAGGTGCTCAACGATGTGAATCTGAGGAAGAGTGATTTCATTAAGGCTGTGAGCGATATGGTATGTTCGAAACCCTCAGTACAAATTTTGATTGTCTTTTGGCCAGTATAGAGAAATGTGATGGGAATTTTTTTTCCAACGAAGAAATTGGTTGCATTGGAGATTTAGAGATTTTGTATTTTCACTGCCGAATAAAACTATTATTATAGAATTTCAGAGCAGTATGTTTTCTTTTTTAATGATCTTACACGGGGTTGATAATCATATTTAATATTTTTTTATTTCATTATCAACTTCGTGTAAGCTCATCAAAGAAAGAATACATATTGATTAGGGATACCGAGGTTCAAGGAAAGTCGATTTCGAAATATTACTACGTTTTCAGAGCAGTGTTTACACATCACAGCGTTTAGTAATCGAGGTTTTCGCATGGTCGTCGGTATTGGTGCTGGGTAGCTCGATTGGTTCAGTGCTTGGTGCTTATGTTTTCAGTCCGATCATTGGAGCTGTATTCGGAAAATACATAGCTTCTTTAGTCGCCTACATACTAATCCCACTGGGCGCTCATTTTGTTATCAGAAGGGTTCGTTCTTTTGTCTTTACTTACCGTAAATGTACTAGTTTTTATGCAATAGTGTTTTTTAAACACTACAAAGATAAGGCATTATGGTGGTGTGGTGTGCTTGAAGTTTAATATTCCTATATTCTGCCAGCAAAAATGGTAATAGAATAAATAGAAACATTTGCACTAATCTTTGTGTGATAACTGCTTTCAGAATAGGTTTCCACAAGCCACCGATGTTATTCATCGATCGATTTGTATGCTTTGTTCTGAATCGCATAGCATGTGCGCTATCATAACTGATCGCCTTTGAAAGTAATATAAGATCTTTGCTGAATTCATAGATGCTCAGTTGAACTTGCTGTATTAAATATTGAGTTCTGTGCTAGCACTTCTCATATCATTGCGAGAGTGACCAGTGGCGTTCAGACCAAATAGAACAACATTTAAGTGAAAATTTAAAGATATGAATTCATCGAGATAGGGTGGGGTAATTGCGTTGTTGTAATTGGGCAACTGGAAAAGGATGAAGAGTTGGAGTTCTCTCTTCCACAGGCAATTAAAACTACCGCTAAACTGACTACACGAGAATTTCTAGTGCCGCCTTTGGGCAGCTATGGCGTAGATCCGCTTTCAAACGAAGTGGAATAAAATCACAATTCCAAATAACAAAACGAGTGTTAAAGGCCTATATCACACAAATTCGACATTATTTTCAGAAGGAAAGAAATTCTATTAACGACAATAATATTCGGATGATGATGCTTGGAACGTCAGTAGCCCAGGGGATACTTGCTGGATACACGATAAATTCTCGATATCTTGAAGCTCAACCTCTCCCCTTTATTACGCCGATGGTGATGTCATTTGGATATGCGGTGGGTTTGACGAGCGTTACGGTGATGCCATACAGTCTATAACAACATCTATTCATATAGAAGTCAAAAAAATACAACTTTAATGGAAATTATTAACTGACGTTGTTCATTGACTCTTTCAGAAATTTTATACCATCACCTACAGACTGTTTGCAACATAGGTAAATACTATGAAGTTGATTTCAACGGAACACTTTTACCTCACTGTAATTTTCTAACTAATTTTTACCAATCTATTCGTAGTGGGCGCGCATAGCGCAGCGGTTAGAGTTGCCATGCAATACATATGTGGTCCCTGATTCAACCTCGCGTGCCGGGCCCACTAAGGATTTCATCCATCTGCGCACCGCAAATTGGTACTAGAACGTGTGGGAAGATAGCAGCACTGACTTGATACATCGGCAAGCCATCGTAAGTCAGTACGGGCCAGATATTCATTTAATCACCTTTAATGATGCTTGGTTAAGGCGAATGAACAAACATCAGTGAGGAATTGATCAACTCCAAACACTTTGGCTTTTAGTCTTTGTTTACCATTCGTACTAAAGTAGGACTGGAGAAATCAATCTAATGACATACTTTCGCTAATTTCATTGGAAAATTTACCTAAGCGTCTATTGTTTATAGGACAGAGTAGAAATTCATTCGCAGTGTTGAGGAAGCTATGATGGATTTTTTTTCAGGGTATCGTTGATGAGGCCAAAGGCGATCGTAGGATGCTTATTAGCGCTACATTAGGAGCACCTCTATGTGCTAATCTTTTGCTTGGAGCTTTCTACGGCAAACTTACAATGTCTTATACCTTTCTCTCATTGGGCTATATCGCGATTGGTGGAATCATCATGCAACTGCTGTTTTACAAAGCCCATGATGTAAGTTAAAAAGTACGCCTTTATAGATAGACTTTCAATAATACAGCCCTCATAGTAAGAATTGATAAGTCGTTTCAGAAAAAAAGCGTAGTTCAGAGAAAAATTTTCTATTCCCGATGCGACAACGACTTTTGTATAAATGATAGCTTTGCAATGATAGGAATGAATAGCAGAAAGTAATAAAAGAATAAAAGTGGCAAAGTAGAGGTGATACTAGATTAGTGTAGTAGAGTGGAAAGAGGAGAGATTGATTCCCGTTCACTCGTGTTAGCACAATCTTAAAAAATCACAGATGAGGAGGAAGTCATTATATGTGTATAAGCTCTAACTTATGATGGAAACACTACAAGATGTAGAATAAGATATCTTTCCTTCTTAATGTAAGAGACTTCAAGTGGTCGTACGATTATGAATACACCCTAATTGTTGTAAGCTTGACGTAAGTTAATGGCTACCTAAAGGAAAGCATTCTGTGTAAGTTCTTTGAACATCGTTCTTTTTCAGAACAGAGGTCACATCTACCAGAACATGCTTAATGCTTCATTCCTCTTATTCAAAGGGCTGACTTTCAACCTGTTTGGAGCTTGCGTCGAATGAGAGCACCATTTATATGACATTTTACTAATTGACATATAAAGAATTCATGACATCAGCGTCAAAATAAAATCGATTTGGTGAAATATGGCACAAATTTTTCTGTTTAAATCAAATCTTCTGAAGTGTTTTTCGGAATCGTGACATTCTGGAAATGGGATGTAGGCGTTTTGCTACATTTTTTAAGAAAAATTTTCCTCGAATTCACCATCCAATGACGTCTTCGAACTTATCGCATGTGGGTTCAGCTGCTGCTTGAGTACTGTCCTCTTTTTCACCATTAATTTCGTCGAATGTTGTTTGAGTCATTTCCCATGGGAATTTTAGGATAATCCGGCTCGAGCGTTCTTACTTAACGTGCAAAGAAAGAATTGGTCTCAGACAAGTCTGATAGCAATTTTTCCGATTCCAAGGAAAACAGAGGACTGGTGAGCAGGGACTTTTCGAAGAAACTCCATGCTTATAATGATCGGCATCGTTACCAATGCGCCCCACTGCCTTAGTTATATTACCATTTTATGTCTAATTTCTTCATAAAGGATATAAACAATCATTTCACTGTGGTAGGGTCTGTGATTGCAGCAAAACTTACATGCCTTCTGAAAAAAGTGCGACATCGAGTGAACATTTTACACTGTTAGTTTGGAACTCTTAAACTGGCTCAGAACTTCCGTGCCGTAATACGGTAATACACGTATGCTCCCTGCTTCGAACCCTGGTCTAATCCTTAGCGTCTCCTCGTTTTGAGAAATTTGTGATCAGACTTGTTTATGGAGAGCTTTCTCTGATCCACAAAGACTGGCGAACTCCTCTGTTTATGACTCCTAACTCTCTAGTAAAACTATTCCGGAAGGTTGGGAATAGTCAATTCAATCGGCATTCAGTGACATTCATTAAGGTGAAAAAGTCCGTAAGTGGAAGACGAATCCACTCATAGACTGGAAAGCGTTATGGATAAAGGATGAATGGACGTACCGAATGAAACAGTTTTGTATTGTACAAATGAGTTATTGTAATACAATTTATCTCTGCCAAAAATTAAAAACATGAGCGCCTCAACACTTTCAATTACTTCGAAGTAAAATGGATGACCTTTTCAACTTCCAAATAGTCTATTTTAAAAAAATAAATGAATAAGAGATTTGTTAAGCCTTTTTTTTGGAATATTCTTCCACGGTCGACACAACTCTGAATAGATTCTGATAAACGTAGACACCAAAGACTCTAGCGTGATACTGGCAAGAAAAAACAATCTTATCAATGTAAATCAGGTTGGGAGTATAAATACAGACAACTTGGGTCTGACGAATCATTGCTCAATTTGAGCGACACCACCGCTATGGATGGCGTTTATAAAGAAGAGGCAGGATGTCTTCACGAGTTAGAAGAAACTATGCAGTCCCTTCATCAACCTGCTAAATTCTTTGGACTGGCTGCTCCACCACTCACTGAGGATACAAGAAACCAAGTCGAATCGCAAGCACAAGAGCTCACCACGGTTGTTCGAGATACGGTAGACATCATTAATGACGATATAAAGGTCGTTCAATGTGGCTCGGTTTCAGAGTTCGGTTTCTCCAGCAACAAAGCCGCTTATTGAAGTGCTTGTGTGGACAACATTGTTGATATTCTTTGCCAACGTTGGAATCGTGGTTGGCTCGTATATACTAGGCCCGCTTCTTTCGACGTTTCTGGGAAAATATGGTGCTGTCATTTTAGCATTTGTTGTCATACCAAGTTATACTTATTACTCCATCACAAAGGTGTGTTGCGTTTATGCAATAGTTATTTGTATAATTCTGAGCACTCCATTCAACATAATGCTGTCAATGACAACTAGCCATCATATAACCACGGTGAACGCTCGATTTGTGATATTCTCCTCTGCGATCAAATGTCGTTGTGTTGTACGTGCTAGTTCCGAAGGATACAAAGTCATATGTAAATGCGTCGTTTGCCGTCGGAGTTCCCTAACGACCCACTCTGAGGTACGATTACGATATATTTCGAGGATCTTTCATAACTCATTAGCGATCAATACGCGTTATAAGGGTTAATCACCGATCTTCCAATAAATGTGAAGCCTCGTTATAATTTGTTAGACTTTTTGTATACTAATAGCAAATATTTCTATTTGATTGATGCTGCTTGATCATCATTTCTGTTTTGCCGAATATACTCCACTGCTCCTTACGAGGCAACTTAATGAAGCACTGCCAATAACTTTCTAGTTATATTGATCCTGGTGATTCCGCAGAGGTCTGGCGGAGACGATGCTGCCAACCGCTTCGAAGTGCTGCCGTTGTCCATCGTGCATGGTGTGCTAATGGGTTTCGTCATGGGCAGTTTGCATCTCAGCAGTATTCCATTTGCTGTGCTCACCCCAGCGATTATAACTGTATTATTCCTGGTACTGTCTGTGAGAATTTCGTACTGTTCTTGAACATTTTGCCAAAAAAAAATTGAAATGTAGTTATATTTACTGATTAAGAAACAAGAAACGTCCTAAACCGAGCAATCACCTGTGTGAAATGAGACAGATAAAAAATTATTTCTTCTGTATAGCAAAGTTTTCTATTCGAGATTGTCGCACTGATTACTGTAGCGATTGGAGCTGCGGTTATTTTCAATCTTACTGTAGGAATAGTAACTGCTAATCTATCGTTCATCTATTTCCCGCTCACACTCATATGCGCTGGCATTGCTGCACTTGTGGTGCAGCTCATTTTGAAGAAACTTCAAGGAGAAGTCAGTATTAGGGCGCATGGAGTTTCTTAAAGCAAAGCTTTATTCCTATTTCAGCAGATAGAGGTTGTAAAATAGACGTCTATAAACAAGTCCATAAACAAGTTGCAAAATTGGAACTCTATGGTTTCAGGTCAAGAAGGGTCATGTCTAACAAAACACTGTTAGTTGTTGCTTCATTATGGCGAAAGAAATATTTTTCCTTCTACTTGGTTCCCACGAATGAGGAAATTAGCAGTACACTTGAGTCGTTCGTTCAAACAGCCTTTTTCGAATGTTTTAATAAAAAAGTTTCATGCTTTAAAGCTTTATATTACCTATGGGTATAACACCTTCGAACTCATGGAACCGATCCGAGTCATTTCTAGATCGTCGAGAAGTGATGAAGCCGCAAAGATTCACAAGTGTTCGATATATTTATGATCAATGTTTATCATTGAAATAATGCTGAGCGATAGATCTACCTAGTATCTTAGCGATGTGCTGGTATAGCTCTTGATTAGCTACACTTTAAATTGGCCACCTCTTCAAGCGCAGCGAAATTCACCGGAAACCTAAACGACGCACTGCGTAGGTCAACAGAGAGGGCCAATCCTGCCCGCTAACAAGAGGCTACGATGGTCCGGTTGAAAGAGCTGTGCTACGAAACTCATTCAGTATACTTGACAGACTCTTCTCTTATTGACTACCTTCAAGTATTTCGACGCATTCCTGAAATGGGTAGGAAACCATGCGAAGATCAAAATTGTCTCAATGAAATGATAGCCACCATAACTCAAAAGTTTTACGAAACCGAATTCAATAAACCGCCTCCTTGCTGGGAAAAATGGTGAATTTTTCATGGTTTCTGCTTTGATCGATGCTTACTTAATACTTGAATGGCCTGTCCTCACTGGGTTGTGCGGGCCCAGCATAATCTCCACATTTCGGGAATTTCTTGGCTAAGCCATTATGGTTTCCTGAAGTCCTGAGGTCAGCCTGGCCAAAGTCTACCTCAGGTCTACACCACTACGGCTAGTCGCAGCCCTTGTCCATCACAGCGAGATTTGCCACCAAGCGACTTCGATACCAAGACGGTGGTGGATCCTGATATTGGTTTACACTTAGCTGGGCTTTCTGATGGAAACGACGGACTCCTCAGCTTGGAAGACCCTGCCAGTGTATGAATCCACCGCTGTACGTCGCAGTCCGATAGCCAGGAACACCTCCCAGCCACGATCAGGCGGTAAACCGTTGGGAGGTTTTGTTTTGATTACTATTTTGATTAGTTTAAGGCACAGATTGACATTCCACGTTTATTTTCGAACAATCCTTTTAACTTTGTACTTACTGCCTACTGCAGTTTTCCACGGCAGAGTGTTATATGTGATGCAATCACAATGTTGCTGAGATATTTGCAAAACTCTGGCCCGCAGGTGTCTGCGGTAGGGAACGAACGCGCAATTATCTTTTCAGAGGGTTAACTTTTTATTCACTTGATTAATTGATTACTATTAATTGTGATTTCGACTACAACTTCAGCCTAATACCGATTTAGCCTCCGCAGATCAATCCTGTCTAAGGGTGATTGCTATTGGAACTGATTAATGGAAAACTAGCTGAGAGATAAGCGAAACGAAGGGCCAGCATGGTGTGGTGGTGAACGCGTTAGCCCATAGAAAGAGTAACAGCGCGTTCGTTCCACACCGCAGACACCTGCAACCCGGAGGTTTGCGAATCCAATATTTGTTAGTAGATTTGGGCTTGTACAAAATGCACATATAGTTTGGATTTATGCAAAAAATGTCACGAACTTGTGCTGAGTACGAGTTCTGTGTTTAAAAAACCAATGTTACATATAGAAAATAGCACCATTCGTTCCACGCATGTCACTGCGGCAAGAGAACGAGGTCTCATCTATAATTCTGCTATGTTTTCATCCTGTAGAGTTTCTTATTTATCGTGCAATTATTGAATACTCTCCAATGGAGGTGTTGGGCGTGATTTGTAAGTGACTGAGTCGATTGAGCGAGTATAGAGGACTTCCATTCAACCACTTAACCCATTTAAGCCAGTACACATAACACCTTTTGGTGTGATACTTTTCCCACTATTAACGGCGAAAAATTGGTCAAAAGCTCTGACGTGGCATAAGTTCACACTTAGCTAGGCTAGTGAAAAAAAAAGACATCGATCTATATCTCAGATGAGGCAACTTGTCTATAGATGGCCAACTGCATCACACATTACATCACACATAACACACATTTCTATGTGGGCTTCACTTCAGCTACTGCATATACCAGTGTGACATTAATAAACAACAGCAATCATGGAAAGGTGTTAAAGTGTTGGAGGAGACAGTTTCACAGAATGCAATTTATGCAGTTCATATAAGCTCATATAAAAATGTTGCTAGAAAACCAAATCCACTACTTTTGAAAGCGTACCGTTTTGAAGGAATCAACATCATAGTACTGTCAACAGCCATGCAAATAGTGCTCTAGATCTTTCCATATATGCTACTATACAGTCTTATTTCCACTGCTGTTGAAGTTGATTGAAGTGGTCGTCAGTGTTGTGTGTCTAGGATGTTGGATCCGATCACGCTTGTTACGTAGAGGCAAGCAGTCGGTAGAAGCAAATTTAAAAGCATTATGTATGATAAAATTTAATGATAATCGGCTTTGAGCCACCTTCGCAATTTCTGTCAGGCCCATAGATCTGTGAAAACAACTTAGTCAGCGATTTTCATTAACCCAAATACTTACATTTTCAACTACCTGTCTCAACCGATACCAGCTTAAAAATTATGGATCTATTTCATGTGAAAGGCTGTACTTCACTTTTCGCGAAAAAACTGTGCTACGTCGTTTTTGCTTGTACTGGAAATTTTAGTGTTGCTTAAATTAAAAATAAAATAAAAAATGGAAAACGAGCATGCGCTGCTCCTCGGTGAGGACAACAGCGCGTGTTCGTTCTCCATTGCATACACCTGTGGTCCGGAGTTTTGCAAATACCTCAGCATTTCATACGAGTTATATTTCGCAACGTACCCTGCCATTAAAAAGAAAAAGGCAGTAAATAAAAGAGTTAAGATTAAAAAATGAAAAATTGAATACTTGAATACGAACGTTTTCCTGCTTTTTGAAATTAACCACAGATCAGTAACACGCCAGCTTGTTATTACAGCAGGTTGACAAACACAAGGTTGCTATTATAGCATTTATAGGCACAGCTGGCGTTTCGGCGTATTGACTTTTTGCAGAACCTAGAGTAGACAGCAAATAAAAAGTTAACAATGTGATTTCAACTGCAGGCTCAGCTTAACAGAGTTCAGTGCTCATGTGGGCTCCCTAGATCAAACCCATTGACGGGTGATTGCTGATGGCACTGGTCGATAGAACTAGATGAGAGACAGGCGAAACCGAGTACTAGCATGGTGTGGTGGTGAACGTGTTAGCCTCGGAAAGGGTAGTACTGTGTTCTTTCCCCACCGCAGACATCTGGGGTTCGGAGTTTTACAAATATATCAGCACAATTGTAGGTGTATCACACTAACAGCTTTGTTCTTTGTAATTCTTAATTCTTCCATCTATTTGGCGATGAACAATCACAGAAAGTTTTGCATGTACGAGAAATGCGCATCTGACCACTGCTCTACTATGGATATATAGGTGATTGTTTTGTCATGTGCTCAACGCAAGGGGAGATTCACAGATGTTTAGAGTTGTTGAATAAAAATTCAGAGGACATTAAGTTTACAGAGCCAAACCGAATGGCAACCGATCTCCATTGCTGAAGATTCAATTTAACCTATCCGAAGACGTCCACGTGGCCAAGTGGTGGCGAAAAAGAATTATTAGAAACTTACTGTTTTCTTATGTCTTTCCTTAGCCCTTTGTCCAAAGGTGCTTGTGAAAAGTATGCTTTGAAGAGCCATAAGTGTGCGCTCAGGAAAAGAGCAGAAGGAAAGATCTCTGAAATTGGCACGGCAAATACCCATTCTCAATGGCTAGAAAAGTGTAGCTCCTCAGAATGTCCGTGAAGGTGAAACATGCCCCAAATGGTAATTCTAGCAAGAATAAAGCTTTGTTCACGCTGCCTTCTACCTCCAACGAAATAAGCGCAGTTATAAAGCGTTGACTTAAAGCGGCCGGTCTAGAGAGTACGGCTGTATAACCGCCTATGTACTATGCAGAATTGAATAATATGCCCTAACGATAGAAATGGTAATTGCATGAGTTCAAGCACGGTTTCTTCCTGATCTCTTGCAAAGCGATCGAGGACGAATACGTTGGCGAAATAAGTGGACCAGTCTGCATCCGTATAAAGGAACACCTAGTGGATAAATTTAAAGTGTAATAAAATACTTCATTAAGCATGTATAGGTCACAAAAACATAACAGAGTGGGGTTCGAAGTAAAAGTAACTATGCTCGCAAAGGAGTCTAAAACATCAGCCCGTAAAAGTCATGGAGCATTTTGATCAGGTTCCAAAATCCAAAAATAAGGGCGCCCTGTGATTACGCGTGGCCTAGCATATGCCTCTGGCCGATTCTCTGACCTGAGCGATACACATTCCTCACCTCTATTGGGGTCCGTGCGGCTGGTCTCCACCGAATAATGAGAAGGCTTACATAAAACAAAACGATGAGTATTTAAAAAAAGCTTTTTGTGTGAATGAAAACTTACGCATTATTGATGGAATCGAAAACCAAGTAGTGAAAATATACTAGTGCGTTACCTCTCCTCTTATCCTTCACATTTGAAAAAAGCGCTCATCAAAAGTGTGTACCGAACAGCTAAATATGTATGCACGGAGAGAGAGGAAAGGAAGGAATCGTTGATAGCGCAAAAATAGTCACTTCCAATGGATGCGAAGAAAAGGTCACCCTGGTGAGACCAAAAGGAATGGTTATTTCTCAAAATAATGCATCAAAACTAAATGAGATTTCTTTCAAGCTACCGTTCGCATCAAACGAATTAAGTTAGGCTATAAGGAGGTGCCTTAGAAGAAGTGGTCTTAAAAGTTATGTGGCAGTTATTGACCTT